AGGAGTAATAGACATTGCAGATAATACCAGAATACATCAGTGAGGAGTCAACACCTTTCAAATATCTGAAATCTCCCACTCAAAGTCCTAAGGCCTGCACTGGAAAGACCTGAGTCATAGGGAAAAATGTGATACTTTTCAGGCTGGATCCTATCTCTATAACCACCTACTCCTTGTGTGTTTTTCTTCGCTTATATTTTCTCACATTTCAAAAGGGGGAATGCACTTTTCCCCCAATAATTACCCTTTTACCGGTATTTTTCCTTAGTTTTCAGTAGTCTATGGTGAACCTAGGCATGTTTTTTATATTTTTCCACTTGGGTTTCTTGGGGGATTCTTGAATCTGTAAATTTGTGTTTTCAGCTCTTTATAATTTTCATACAGATCTGTAAAATTTCACCTATTATTACTTCAAAAATGTTTTACATTATCCTACAGGTAATTGAAGAGAGTATTAATTTTTTAAAAACCTTTTTCTCTGTTCTTCAGTTTAGACAATTTCTATTGATCCATAACTTTACTTTCTTTTGTCTTTTCCTGGCAAAGCCCATCTGCTGGCAAGCCCATCCAATGATATAGTTTTCAAATATGCTATTTTTAGCTCTAGAAATGATTAGGGACAAAGTATCTTAAAAGGCTTCTGGGGGAAATAATGAAAAAATATGGAGGAAAAAAAGAATTGATAAGTTACATATTCTTTAGGATTTTCTATAAACACAATCATATCTGTAAATAATGACACTTTTTTCTTTCAAATCACTGCACCTTTTTTTCTTGCCTTACTGAATTAGTAAGAATCTCAATTACAATATTAAATAGAAAGCCTGATAGCAAGTATCTTTGTCTCATTCTTAGATGCCAGTGGAAAGCTTTCACCATTAAGAAGGCTGATTTCTCTAGGAATTTTATACATACCTTTTTTTTTTTTTAAGATTTTATTTGTTTGACAGAGAGAGACAGCGAGAGAGGGAACACAAGCAGGGGGAGTGGGAGAGGGAGAAGCAGGCTCACCGCCGAGCAGGGAGCCCGATGCAGGGCTCAATCCCAGGACCCTGGGATCATGACCTGAGCCGAAGGCAGACGCTTAACGACTGAGCCACCCAGGCGCCCCTTATACATACCTTTCTTTATGTGACTGAGGAAGTTCCCATTTTTTTGTCTTTGCTGAAAGGATAAATTCTGTCTTTTCTCCATCTATTCATGTGAGAATATATGATGATTCTACTTCACATTAGACACATTAACATAATGTGCTAAATTACACTGATTTTCAAATGTTAAACCTACTTGCATTCTGACAATATTCCGAATTTAGTCATGATATATTATCCTTTTCATATATTGCAGGATTCAATTTATTATTATTTTGTTTTGTATATTTGTTTTCATTAGTGAGAGTAACCTATAAATTTCCTTTCTCTTGAATCTCCTTACAAAGTTTCAGTATCCATGTTTGCTTCACTTCTTAAATAGTGTGTTCCAACATTTATCAATTCTCTTGAGACTTTGTATGAGTGGGTTTTTTCCCTTAAATCATTGGTAGAATGAAGTCATGTGAGCCTGAACTATTAGAAAGGCCTGTAATAACGGATTCAATTTCATTACTAGGTATAGGACTCTTCACATGGCCTGTTATCCCCCAGCAAAGTTGATTTATTGTATATTACTAGGAATTTGTTTGTTTCATATAAATTTTCAAATGTATTGGTATAAACTGTGTATGAAATCCTTTCATTATCTTTTTAATGTATGCAGGATTCAGAGTGACCCAATTTTCATTCCTAGCTTGTTTTCTCTCTCACTCTCTCTGTTCATCTGATGGAAATGGAAGTGTGGCATGTTTATACAAGGAAATATAAATGTAGCATTTTGACACAAAAATGAATAATAAATGATGTGGGAAGCAAAGGCAAAAGAAAAAAAATTTTTTTTACTGCCACTGACAAGACCTTGAAACAGGTAGAGTGATCTACCTCTAGGTGCTCAGCTGCCTCGATGTTGACACTTTGCTAAGGGCAAAAGTCAATCTTAGTCCAACGCCCCAGGATCCAGTAAATCTTATTTAACATATAAAAATTCCTTTGGAAACTTCCTTTATCTCTACCCCCCAAGATATATGTTGGCATCATCCCTCAAGCCTATGGCTCACTGACATACATCTGAAGGGTCTCATGACTAAGGTTTATTAGACAATAATAAATGACCTTTTCCTAACAATAGCCAGCCTCCTCAAGGTTCTGGAAACCTTGCTTCCAAAATTCCTTAGAGACTTATGCTATCCCTAACCCCCTCCCAACTTGAAAGTACACAATCAGTCGGGGCGCCTGGGTGGCTCAGTTGGTTGAGCGGCTGCCTTCGGCTCAGGTCATGGTCCTGGAGTCCCAGGATCGAGTCCAGCATCGGGCTCCCTGCTCAGCGGGCAGTCTGCTTCTCCCTCTGACCCTATCCCCTCTCATGTGCTCTCTCTCTCTCATTCTCTCTCTCAAATAAAATCTTTAAAAAAAAAAAGTATACAATCAGTCACTCCTCATAACCCCAGTGCAGCTCTTTCTGCCCATGGGTCCCTATCCTTTAATAAAACCACCTTTTTACACTGAAGGTATCTCAAGAATTCTTTCTTGGCCATCAGCTCCAAACCCCAACATTTCATACATCAATAAATAACCTAGAACTACATGCAACAACATGCAATTGGTGAATCACACAATGTTGGGCAAGAGAAGTCAGGCACAAGAATATATACTGTGTAATTCCATTGATATAAATTAAAAGATTGCCTGGGCACCTGGGTGGCTCAGCGTGTTAAGCATCTGCCTTCGGCTCAGGTTGTGATCCCAGGGTCCTGGGATCGAGCCCTGCATCGGGCTCCTTGCTTCGCAGGAAGCCTGCTTCTCCCTCTCCCACTCACCCTGTTTGTGTTCCTGCTCTTGCTATCTCTCTCTCTGTCAAATAAATAAATAAAATAAAATTAAAAAATAAAATAAAATAAAAAGATTGCCAAATCAATCTTTGCTGTTAGAAATTTGGATAGTGATCATTCTTGGAGAATGAGAAAGAAAACAGAAGAGAGCATGAAGACATACTTTGGGATGCTGGTAATGTCCTGTTTCTTGATCTGGATACTAGTTAAATAAATGGATGTGTTCAGTTTCTGAAAATCCATCCAGCGGTACTTAGGCTATATGTGCTCTTAGGTATGTATATTACACATCAAAGAAGTTACTATTACAAAATCAGAAGGGCTTCTGCTTTTTTGTTCCAAAATGGAAAAAGCTTGTAAGCGATCACTACTGTCCTCACAGCAAGAAAAAAAGCTAATAAGCAAACTGAAAATTAGTAATTCTTTTTATTGCCCTCAGAGAATTGAGGTCACAGGGCAAACAAATGGTCTGAGAACTGGAGAGAGAATCACAGATAACCTGAAGGAGAAGCTGCTAGAGCCAGAGACTGGTAGGAATTGATGAACTGCTGGAAACGGAGTGTGGACCAGCTTGAGAGTTAAAAACTCCTACAGGCCCCCACTTTCTTGAGTTTGACCTCTAAGAACATCACCACTTTCTCAGAATGAAGATTGGAAGAAAGTCTCCTCATGCTTCTAGCAGGGGGAGGGGAAAATAACCATTTTGAAATATTTTATTTTTATTTTTTAATTTTTATTCATTGAAATATTTTAGATAGTCTGTTGTCCACCTGCCCTCAAGGGAAACTAATTTACCAGAGAATAACCAATGTGGAGGAAGGGAAATACCCAGCCCCCTCTAGCCCTCCTGTGTCACCTAAGTGGTTGAGGGAGGAAAGGACCTGAGAACTTGTGCAGGTAACAGGTCAGGGTCTCAGGCAAAGTGAGAGACTAGGACCTAAAATTCTTCCCCACCCCTACACTTCCTCTATATCAACAGGATTCTTGTATAAAAACAGGGTTAGAGCTGAAAAAAGAAAAATGCGCGATCATATCAATTGATCAGAAAATTATTTAACAAGGGGCGCCTGGGTGGCTCAGATGGTTAGGCGTCTCCTTCGGCTCAGGTCATGATCCCGGGCCGCATTGGGCTCCCTGCTACGTGGGAGGCCTGCTTCTCCTTCACCCTCTGCCTCTCTCCCTGCTCGTGCTCTCTCTATCTCTGTGTCTCAAGTGAATAAATAAAATCTTAAAAAAAAAAAAAAAGAAAATTACTTAACAAAATTCAACAGTCTTTCATCACAAAAACATTAAACAACAAAATCCTTGCTAGTTATTTTGTGGATATCGGCAGAATGATACTAAAGTTTGTATGGAGCGGCAAAAGACGAGAATACCCAACACAATATTGAAGGAGGACTAAATCGGGGGTCTGACAAATAATTATCCAGTCAGATCTTAATATTTATATAACATTTCTCTCTTTGGTTATGCTTGGAAAAGCTATTCCTAAACCAATATTACCAAACATATACAAGATTATCACCAGATCACTTTTACATTTAATTACTCAGCGTTGCATATATCCTAATGTAAAGTATTAAATTACTTCACTCCTACTCACCATTATTAAATGTAGCTAACACGGTGTATTGAGAAAACCAGCCCATTCTCGGCAGTACCAAAAGTTACTTTCCTGTATGTTATCACCAGGCTGCAGCTACCTTAGGGAACACTGCACCAGAGTCCCCGCCATGGCCCTGGGGCCGCACCAGTGACCCTACCTTGCGGCTCTGCACCCACACGCCTGAGGCTTCGGCAGCCGCCAATTCCGGGCTGCCCTTCCCTGCCTTGTAGCCTGATCTGGACCACCAGGACGCGCGCACCGCGCCCTCTCCTGTTTCCCCTCCAGCGTTACAAGTCCTCGCGTGCCGCACTGAGAGCGACGACTCCCCGGGGGCCCGCGCAGGGACGTCCCGGCGGCCAACTCGCGCTCTAGCGAGACTTCTGGGATTTGGGCTACTTTTCCCAGAAGCCACCGCGGCCACGGACATTCAGGTTCGAACTACATTTCCCAGAGGGCAGCGGTCACAGCGGATCTTTGGCTTCCCTTCCATTTTCGCGCGGTTCTCGCGCTGCGCACGGTGAGTTGAACTCATCTCAGGATGTAAACGCCACCGGGTGCGGACAGGCTGCACTCGGGGCATCCAAGTTAATCCGGGGTTGGGGAGGAAGTCTTTAAAGCGTGGAAGCCGGTAGTAGGGGCGGCCAGTTGTTACCGTGATCTCAGGCCTGCGGTTCAAGCACCATAGAGGAGGGTGGTGTGTGTCTATAGGGACAGGTGGGGGCGGGGGGTGGCGCGCGCGGCAAGATGTGCCTCCGTTACAGTGGGTACGCTTGTGGAGTGAGAGTGAGACAGGTGTGTAGCTGGGCGCGTGTGATGTGCATTTGGTTGCGTGTCTTTTACCTGTATGGCGATTGTTGTGGCTCTGTTGTGTCATTGTCCCATGGCTCTAGGTTCCCTGCTGCTTCCTTCGTCTTCTCTCCTCACAGCTACCTGTGGCTGCCACCGAGGAACGGTCGTAAGAAGGAAGTTCGAGGTTGGGAACGCCTTGGAAATTCTTTACTTGGGAGCTCTAAGGGGCAGCCACGTGTCTCAGAACCACGGCGTTCTCAGAGATCTGACCGCAGGAACTTGGTGTAAACCTTACACAGATTACACGCTGTCCCACTTCCATCTGTGTGTGTGAGAGCAGGGCAGGGGTGGACGTAGAGAATGTTGTACAACGAAGTCATTCTGTGCTCCAAGAAAAACCTGGCGTCCTATCACTCCCTACCTGGTCCTGCCATTCCCCCAAAGAAGGACCCTGATGAGGAGGAAAGAATTGTTATATCCAAAAAAATCAGTGTTTGGGGTAGTTTTTCTTTCATAAAATTACTGGTTTTAGGGCATGCTTTCCTTTGTCAGAAATGTCCTACTCGTGATCTGGTTTCTTCCCAGTGGATGTTGGGTACTACTGAGGTAAACCTCGTTAACGTTTTCATGTTAATTGGGTTATCATTCACATCCTGTGTATTCTCTTATTGTAGACCAAAAAGATTCAGAGTTTTTGGTCTAGAATCAAGGACAATTTTCCTGTTTTTGATGATGTGAAAAATTAATGTTCAGGGTTATGGAAATGTTTAATGATTAACCCATATGGTTGAATACTATGCAGCTGATAAGATTATGTTTATACAGGGGCATCTGGGTGGCTCAGTCGGTTAAGCTCCCACTCTTGGTTTTGGCTCATTATCTGGGGGTGGTAAGATGGAGCCCCTAGTACAGCTCCCGGCTCAGGGGGGAGTCTGCTTGGGATTCTCTTCTTCTCCCTCTGTTCCTCCCCCATTCATGCACATGCTCTTTCTCTCTAAAATAAATCTTAAAAAAAAAAAAAAAGATTATGTTTATAGAGTTAGACTTAAGAAGAAAATGTATACTCTATAATGTTAAGCAATATTCATATTTATCAACAGTAATACCCTGGAAAATTTTTAATTAAATATGAATCCCACTTAAGAAGGTATTACTGTGAGAAGTTTTCCAAGGAGTGCATCATAAATATTTTGTTTATTGAGGAAGGGTAGTGGTGTAGCTACATTTATCAAGCATCTATTGTCTATCAAACACTCTTCTACCTTTATTACATTCTATGATGCAGTCTGCAAGTGCCACTTAACCTGTATTGTGTTCATTTTCAGTAGAATCTTGGTAATCAAAGTATTGGGGAGATATAAATTTATACATAAATTCCTTACCATCACAGTGCTTTCTTAGGTCAGCATAATTTGACAGTAAGGTGACAGTGGTGGCTACTGTCAGAATAACATCACTCCCTTGTAAAATCACAAGTTGCATTATCTGAATCTCCCTAGCGGCCTCTGATGCATTTATTCCCATTCAGTGTTCACCTTACTTACTAAAAGAAACATAAAAGTAGCAACCATGTCATTTGAGTCTTTTTATCAACCCAGATACTAAGATTGCATGATTAGGCATATCATAAGCACTTAGTAAGAGTCTGATTGTTTTATCCCAAATGCTCCTAGGAATTTATATTAAATACACAAAACTTTAACAGTAGGTAATAGGTTAATTAATTCAGTTCTATATGATGGCATATATACCATTATTAATCATGATGATACTGGTCCAGGCTAATATACATAATGTAGGAATGGCATCCTGTTGAATTTTTTTTTTTTTTAACACCCAGCGTGGAGCCTGATGTGGGGCTTCATCTCACAACCCTGAGATTGTGACCTGAGCTGAAATCAAGAGTCAGACACTTAGCCAACTGAGCCACCCAGGTGCCCCAACATTTTAATCATTTTTAAGTATACAGTTAACTAGCATTAAGTATATTCACATTGTTCTGCAACCATCACCACCAATCATCTTCCGAATTTCTTCATCTTCCCCAACTGAGACTCTACCCATTAAACACTTCCCATCCCCCTTCTACCCTCCACCCCAGTCCCTGGCATCCACTTTCTGTCTCTATGAATTTGATTATTCTAAGAATCTCATATAAGAGGAATCATACAATATTTGTCCTTTTGTGACTAGCTTATTTCACTTAGCATGATGTCTTCAAGATTCATCCACGTTGTAACTTGTATAAAATAACCCTGATTTTTATGGCTGCATAATATTCCCTTGCGTGCATATACCACATTTTCTTTATCAGTTTATGGACATTTGGGTTTCTTGCACTTTTTGGCTGTTATAAATACAAACACTTGTGTAAAAGTTGTTTTGGATTTTTTTTTTTTTTTTTTTTTGGTGAATGTGTATTTTCTATTCTTGGGTATATACCTAAGGGTGGAGTTGCTGGATCACATGGTAACTCCTACATTACCTGTTTTATTCTCATGATGTTGATGTAAGTGAAACTAATAGAATAATTCAGCAGCTTTCCGGAGGATATGACTAACAGCGTGGGAAATAGCTCTGTGAAGAAAACTCAACATCAGTATATGTCAAGACTATTCTCAGAGACTTTACCCATTTTTTAGGCAGTAATCCATATGCCACATCCATTTTATGTATGTGAGCATACATAAAAATCAGAGAGTGTTGTATTACTGGTAGCTGAAGAAAACAAAAACCATTTAGCAAAACAATCCAAATTTAATGTACGTCTCCAAGATCAAGTAAATACTGTTTAAAAAAATGAACTTTGCACATTTTGGAAAACAACTTCCACTTAAAACATAGCAAAAGTTCATATGCATATATATTTTAATTTTAGACATGGCATTTGAATCAGTAACTTCATATACTGAAATTCTCATCAAGATCAAAAGAATAATATGTGCCATATATACAGGGGAATATTATTCAGCCATTCAAGAAGATTTTGCTATTTGCAACAACATGGCTGGACATTACCCTAAATGAAATGTTAGAGAAAGACAAGTAGCAATACTGTATGATCACACTTACATGAGGAATCTAATCCTCCACCCCCTCAAAAAAGAAAAAAAAAAGAACAACTGAACTCAGATACAGAGAAAAGATTGGTGGTTGCCAGAGGTGGGGGGAGTGAAATGCATGAAGGTGGGCAAAAAGTTCAAACTTTCAGTTTTAAATGAGTCATGGGTATGTAATGCCCAGCATGGTGACTATAGTTAATAATACTGTTGTAATAATAATACTGTATTGTGTATTTGAAAGGTGCTAAGAATAGATCTTCAGAGTTCTCATCACAAGAAAAAAATCTATGTATGATGATGGATATTAACTAGACTTAACTGTAGTGATCATTTTGCAATATATACAAATACCAAATCATGCTATATACCTGAAACTAATATAATGTTGTATGTCAATTATATCTCAAAGAAATATGTAAGTTTTAGGGTCAAGTCTAATGCAACAATATATTATCTCTAAAAACTGGTTATTGAGGCATGACCTTCTTGAGGTTGCTTTAGGTATTTTCCATCAGCTTTGCTTTCTAAGTTACTTGATTCCTGGTGAAATTTTGAGATTTTATGACTCAGATTGCATAACAATATTCTGGAACACACACACACACACACACACACACACACTTTGGCTAAGATTAGCCATGTGAGCTTCACCTTTCTTTATTCATCAGTACAATGAAATGCCTATGTCAAAGGAAATCTCTTCAAATGTCTATGTCATTGAAACAGCAAAGAAACCTGTCTCTTGTGTGTAGGCAATTATTATTACTTTCCAAGAAAAAAAAATCAAGAGAAAAAGAAAAACACTGTATGAGTGTATAGCTTTCTGGACTTTTTTGTCTACTGGAGCCTGATGATTTGTCAGCCTTTCAATATTGAGATATGCATATATTTTACAAATAGTATAATGTAACTGTGGTTTCATAATCTGATTTTTCTGACAGTGTTTCTGGAGTATTTTCCATGTCTTCATTATTTTCCCTTCACATTTTGTATGTAACGTATTTCATAATATATTCAGCAGTCAGTTTTTCTGGAATCAGAATGTTGAACCCTGCCTGACCAATTTTATGGCTTTTTTAACCTGTACACCCTTTCTTCTTTTTTATTTAATTTTTTAAACGATTTATCATTTGAGAGAGAGAGAGTACGGGGAGGGGCAGGGGGAGAAGGAGACCAGCAAGACTCCCCACTGAGCAGGGAGCTGGCTGCGAGGCTCCATCCCAGGACCCTGAGATCATGACCTGAGCTGAAATCAAGAGCCTGACACCCAACTGACTGAGCCACGCAGGTGCCCCTAACCTGTACACCCTTTCTAACCCTTTCTAACCTGTTCATCCTCACTGATCCCAAAGCCAGGAAGTAAGGTGTGGTTTGGATGGTGTAGGTCCTTTTCAATCCTGAAAGCTGTGAATGAAGGGAGGAGAATGTGTTCAGGGCAGGACTGAGCAGCCCAGTCTCAGGTGCTGAACAGCTTCCCCAAATTGGAGGACTGGCCAGAGAGCTGTCTGATGAAGTATCTGCATTTCCTGGGGATTAGGGGAAGAGTTTCAATTTATCTAAAATCCTTCTTTTGTAATTGGGTGTGTTTGTATGTTAGGAGGTATTAAGTAAAATGGAATGGAGAAGCAAAACATTTAATTTCTTACGTAGTAACACTAAAGCATGC